TGTGAAGACTTTGGCTGCAGGGAGTGGGAACAGGAAGAGGGCAAGGCCTTGGAGTGGCTTGTGTCTTTCACCTACAGCCACTTCAAGCCAAAAGCTGCTTCCGGTGTACTTCAAGACTGACAGCCTGCTCAAAGGAGATGCTGGCCAGAGGGCCTGGCAGGCCAGTGTTTGCTGCAAGGAAGGTAGAAGGTGTGTCTTTCAAAGAGAAATTGGAAGAAACATATTGTTTTGTTCACTAAGATAATGTGGTGCATGGATCTTTCCCAGTGAGAATATCTAATATTATTTAGAATTAATGACATCTTATTTTATCAAAAAGAGCTTTCACTTGGAACTGCCCCAGAGGGAAACCACAGCTTCTGGGGATCTCCAGGGGTTTCTGGGCAAACAAGCATTTCGTACTCCATCTGAGCTGTCAGCCGGGAGCAGTGGGGAGGGCTCTGGGGGTGGGAAGGCACTGCCCAGGCCTCAGGGCCAGGGGCCGGTCTCAGAGCAGGAAGCCTCTGTGCAGCTGAGATCCCAGGCAGCGCTGAGAGACAGGCCTTTTAGGACCTGGTCTGGTTCCTGCTGACAAGTGGGTCTTCTTACTGGGCTAGGCTGGGCCGAGGGTATGCCAAGCTAAAAGATACATCACGGTTTCCAAGACCATTTTAAATCAAAGTAATGCCTTGAGAGGCTCAGACCTCTGCTGTCGCAGTTTGCTCTGGACGAGGGACAGAGGCACCCCCAGCAGGCCGACGCTCCATAGTTCTGGGTCCTCCTGTCTGTCAGGCCTAATGGGCAGCTTCTCAGGAGGTCTAACCCTGCAAGGGAAAGATGCCTCGGCTTTATAATGGATGCCATTTCTTTTCTGGAAACCTGTCACTTTCCTCCCTTCTCTTGATTTCGGAATGTCTGAGAGGAGCGAGCTCCTGGTCTAAGGAGCTGGAGCCCAGTGTAGGTTTGTATTTTCCTCAGGGCATTTCCAGCCCCTGTGGGGGCTTGGGCAGCTTTTTCGTTTGCTGGACTCATTCAGTTAAATACTTAGGGTTTTTATCACCCTTAACTAGTCTCAAGAGAATTTGACCTCTTGCCTTTACAATTTAAGATTGTAAATTTAAGATTTCCCCAGAGGCCCTTCAAGGTATGTGTTCTGAGCCACCCAACTTTGTAGCCTCAGGCCAACACTGCCAGTAGATGAAACCTGCATCTGGTTAACTTGGTTTTTTTAGCAAAAACCAAATCTTGGGCATGGGATCCTAGAGCTGGAGGATTCCTGGAGCTAAGCGGTCAGTTCATCTCTGCCTCTATGGACCAGGAGTCCAGGGTGAGCAGAGGGAAAGCACTGGATCACAGACAACATGCAGATGAGAGCCAGGAGTCCTGGCTTCCTGTCAGCACGCCAGTGTTGGAGCTGAGGAGGGGCTCAGTCCCCTCCTGTGCAGAAACATTCTGCCTGTGCAGAAACTGGCCAGTGTGTCCCTGAAACACAGGTCTCAGCATCACCTCCCCCCCAGCAGACTCTGCCTCCCAGGGAGCAGTGTGGGGCCCCTGACCTCAGAGCATGTGGTCCCAGTCTCTGCTGGCACTGAAGTTCCTGTGCACACCAGCCAGCCTCCTGCCAGGGAACACAACCCTGACCCGGTGCTGAGGTTCTGCACCCTCCCCCTTGCTTCCCCATGTGGCCATTGGCTGCCTTGCCCACAGCAGAGTGAAGAGTTAACATTCAGGAGCTGGAGAAAGTCTGTGGTTGGTTCTGACAGGCTGTGAAGACATAGGTAACTCCAAGCTGTTACCAGGTACCTCTACAAAACGGCCGGGCACCCATCTCTCTGCCTGCCCTGCTCGGACATGCCTTGGGCTTCCTCACTCCGCCTGTGTTGAGCTGTGCTGGATGATGGGAACACCCTCCCCACTGCTGGAACCCGTGGAAGCTGGAAGCAGTCTTCTAGGCTTGGCCCAAAGGCTCTGTCCTCAGATGTTCCCGGATCACCCCATCCCAGTGCCCAGGCCTTGTGGGTTTTGCCAGGCACTTGGCTTTCCTAGCTCCCAGCAGATGTGAGGACTCCTTTCCCTACCCCCACCTTCCAGGCACTGCACATTTAGACATAATATCATCACAGTGTCACAGAGAGGGTACTGGTCCAATTTTACAGATAAACAGAACCTCGGAAAGGTCACAAGTTGTCAGAAGTTATGGACGGTGGCACTGGGAGAGCCCTTGAAAGCTGTCCTCAACCGAAGCCTCATGTCTTCTAACCACAGCGAATGCATGGCCAATACCCAGTAACTGTTTGCTGAATGAGTGAGTCAGCGGATAAGTTAAGCATGCAGTGTCCCTTGTTCCATGCACATCTGAGAGAAGACCCAGGAAGTTGTTTTTGGTTTTAGCAGGCACTGCTCTGTCAGGTGGTTGGCTCGGGGCCTACTGAAGGTGGACCATGACTGTTAGGAGGTAGCCGTGGGTCTCCGTCAGCCCCCGCTTCCTGGGAGCACTTCCGATGCCCCCAAACTTTTCTGGAGGGGGCGGGGCAGAACTAGAGCCCTAGAAACAATGTGGGACACAGCTTTAGTTCTGTGGTCACTGCAGTCTTGGAATGTGGGGTGTCTTAGGCATTGAAGGGTTAGTTAGGAAATTTAACCTCAGGTATAAAAGCATCCACAGGAAAGGGCCTCAGGAATGCAAGTTACCCTCTTCCTGCCAAACTTGCAGGGAGTGACCTCTTCTCTACAAACAGTCGCACTCCTTACAAGAACCCTGGCAGCAAGATTCTTTAGCTATTGCAATACCCAGGTACGAAGGCGGGGGTTTGGAGAGGGCTGATCTGCCCTGGTTAGAGGAGAGCCACAAACCACAATCCAGTTGTTCCCAACCAAACCACCAACTCAGGCAAACAGGGCCTGCTGGGAATTGGAGAAGACTAGAGCAAAACCCTGGGGCTTAAGTGGCTATGTTTTAGACAAACATTTAACCCCCTAGAAGCCTGAGCTTTCTTCCAACATTGTTTGCAGTAGTGGGAGAAAATGAAGCTCCTGCAAGGCCTCTCTGCGAGCCCAGAGCATGGTGGGTGGGCTGTAAAATCACCAGGAGGGAACTAGTCTCAGGCTAGTGGGGGGCCCTCTTGTTCTACTACAGTTGGCCTGTACTACAGGGCCTCACTCTTCCCACACGGGGATGAGGGACTGTGCCAGGTGGGGGCTCAGTGGACCTGTTCTCAGGCTTAGCACTGGCCCAACCAAAGGCCCAAGGGCAGCAACTGAGGCTTTCAGCAGTCCTCCCAGGGATGGGGGCAGGGTCGGGTTCTGCTTGCTTGTCCACACCTTCACCTGGATATCATCTGTGCCTTGGTTCCTGCTTGGGGTAGGCTGGGTGGGAGATGTCCAGCTCTCATTTCATCCTCACAATAACCTGTGAGGCCTTGATGGCCTCCCCCATCCCTTCTTTCTCTGATATCTCCTGCTTGCCTTTCCTTCCTCCTCACTCTCTTCTAGATACACCAGCCTCCCCTAACATGCCAGCTGAGCTCCTAGTCTGGGGCCTTTGAACCAGCTGCTCTCTTCCTGGACTATTTTCCTTCCACCCGCTGCTGGGCTCCCTCCCTCACTCATGTCTCAAAGGCCACCTTCTCAGTGAGGCTCACATTGGTCAACCCCTTTGAAGTTAATTCCCCCTTACTCTGCTTTTCACCTGGTATTCACTATCTTTTTACCCACCGATTACAGCAGGTCCTCAAGTAATGTTTCATTCAACATTGATGAGATGCTAGGAAATTAACTTGCTTATGTCAGTTAGCCTATGGTAAAACTGGTTCCATTGTAGGCACATTTGCCTCAGTTCCAAGAACCTATCAATGACCGTAAGTGAGAACTTTACTTAATGTCTCTTCATCCACTGGAAGGTAAGTACCATGAGAATAAAACTTGTCTCCTTTTCCTTGCCATTTCCCCAATATTTGGGCAACAAATTAAGGAACCCGCGGGTAGAAATCAAGCTCCCCTTTCACAAAGAAGAAACACCTGGCCTCAGGTGTGTAAAGAAAGGGTCTCAGTCTCAGAGGGTGATGGGCGGAGCCAGAGTGTGAGCATCGCCCACCACTCATTACTGCTTCCTGCCTTCCCAATTTAACCAGTTTTCCCGGTGTACCTGGGACTAGGAGGCTGCTGGGTGGCTTTACTTTGGTGGCAAAAGGTGGGACATAAGTGCCTAAAGCCCTGAAATGGAAGACCCGGTGTGTGTGCCCAACGTTCAACAAATCCAGCAGGTAAAAAACCTAACTTTGTTAGCTTATAATGGTTTCAGTATCAAAGGACCTAGACCGGGCTGCTGCTTTTGTTTTTAATTCTCTACTTTGGGTGTTTGAAATGCTCTCTTTTTCCTCTATGATATGAGAACAGTAGTAGACAATAAGAATGCAATTTAAGAATCAAATCAACAACCTAATGTCTAGAATTGTGTATGCAGTTAACTCCTAGCTATGTGTCTTCCCAGGAAAAGCGAACGGGCTCGCGTGGGTGTTGAGCAAAGCCACGGTGGAAACCGAGGCAACAGGGCCCTGGCGTCTAAAGCCCAGCTCGGTCCGGAGCCTCTGTCACCCTTTGGGTGGTTCTCTTGAGCCTTGCGCCCCGACCTCTTCCCCTCCTCCCAGCCACTGGTACAGCACCGAGGCCACTTTCCCCGGAAACCTGTGCAGTTGGCTGGGTCTCCGAGGGCCATTGGGGTGGGGGCGGTAGGGGTAGGGGTGGGGGGGTAGGGGTAGGCCGCTGTGGCAACTCAATTCTGCCCCAGGGCGCCCTGGCCGCTGCTGGCCTGGAGACCCGACCCTTCCGGCGCGCGCCAGCTTCGCTCCCAGAGCAGCCCGCCAGCTTGGGTGGCCATTGTCTCCCGTAGGCTTAGACGCCTGAGGGCGGTCACGGGACCCGGAGGATATAGGCGCCTCCCACTGCTGCCAAAAGGGGATGGGAAAAGTGCTGGTGTTTAGTGAGAACTACCCGAGTGTTTTCCAAGTACCAGATCATTTAACTTCGCATTCATCCTGGATATAAAATCGTAGTGTGAGGTAGACATTCGTATCCCCATTTTGCAAACAGGAAAACTGAGGCTCAGAAGATGTGGCGACAGTCTGGGAGGCGGAGGAGCTGCGGTTACTCCTTTGGACCCAGGCCGTAGCCAGTGCCCTTCCTCGACCCAGCGGCCTAGCGCGGGAGCAGCTTGCGAAGGGCGGGGCCCGGCGCCAGCAGGCAGCGCGGTGGCTGGTCCGGGATCATGGTTGCACTGTGCTCGGCGTGTAGAGCCAGGTGGGGGCACGCGGCGCGCAGGCGGCGCAGGCCGGCCGCGCTCACGTTGCGGCAGAAGTCTACGTGCAGTGTTTGCAGCGCGCGCCCATGCGCTGCTGCGGCCACCAGCGTGCGGTTGGTGACGCGTGCGCAGTTCTCCAGGCGCAGCGTGCGCAGGCGCGGACAGCACCGTAGTAGTCTAGCCAGGCAGTCATCGGTGACGTGGCCACACCCAGACAGCGTGACGGACTCCAGGTTAGGGCACCTGCAGAGAGAACGCGGTAACAGCGGGCTCTGACCACGACCATGCAGGAGCCCGGGGCCGGTCGTCCTCCGAGCAGCCGTGGGGGGCGGTGCAGGGCCCTCCGCGGTTTACGGAGCGGGAACGGGCCCAGCGAGTTTGAGGAAGTTACTGCCTGCGCTGAGGCGGCTAGGATCTGAACCAGAGCTTCTGTCGCATTTCCCCTCGTGGCACCATAATCCGCGTGGGTCCTGAGCCCCCAGTGGGGAACCCAAGCCCTGATCCTTCTGGGACAGAGGGGATGCTGGTTTCAGGAGTGACAACTGTACTTTCTTTGGATCTTCTCATTTGTTGCCTTGGGTGGTGCCAGGGAAGTGGGGCGTGTGGTGACCACGACCACCGGACCGCGCCAGTCTACCCTCCAGCCGAGGCCCCGACGATCCTGGCAGGCGGGGAGCCGGGGAGGAAGGGTTTCCTGTGGGGTGGCCTAGAGACAGGCCCACTCCTACTCTTGAGGAGGGGAAGGGGTGGGGAGCTCTGGGTTCTAAAGCCCTGGTTTCAGCTCCGATGACCGAGGCGGTTACCGCATTCCCGCTGGCACCCCACACTGCAGAGGATCGGAACCGGAGGTAGCTGGAACCAGACCCAGGGTGAGAACAGCCAGGGACCGGGAGTAGCTTATCTAGACGCTTGGAGGCCCCTCTGCCCTAAGACCTTGAGCAAAGTTGGTCTGGGCCGATTTGCAGTGTGACCTTGGCCAAGTCACTGAGCCCACTGCCTGGTGGGGTAGTGGCAAGGGAGAAATGCCTGCCAGCGCGGTTGTGAAGATTTCGATTTGGGCTGTAAAGAGCCTTTCATAGGTGGTTGTAACCCTCTCCTGGGAGTAAACAAAACCAGACTGCTATGGTGGGCACAGGCCTTGGCCCCCTGTAACCAGAGGGAGCTGGAGTCTGAACCAGGAGTTTGGGGATGGGGGTGGTCCCTGTCCCTTCCCCATCAGCCTCCCCTCAGCCCCTTGACTGCGCCTGCCTGGGCCAGCTTGGCCCCTGCGCCAGGGGCATGGGGTAAGGAACTAGAGTAGCTGTGCGGAGCCACATTTTCTCACACAACCCATGCTGTCCTCCCGCCTTCTCCTGCCTTCCTCAGTCTTCCTATCACCTCTGCACCCTCAGTTTTGTGGATGAAGAAACTGGCCCAGAGAGCTCAAGGACTTGCTTGTTGCATATTTGTCTGTCTGAGCCAGGGCAAAGGCCTGAACCATGCAGGGCCACCTGCTTGTCTGTCAAGTGGAAGAAATTGTTGTCTTCAGGGTCGTTGTAAGGATTAGGTATTTAGCTCCAAGGGTGCTGAGTGATCCTTTAAGGACCTTCAGGATAATTCTGATGCCGGAAGAAACCAGAGACAGAAAGAGCCAACTCCTTCCCCACCCAGCCAGCCACAGCTGTTCCTCACCTGCACCCCCAGCTGACTGCCCACACAACCCGGTTTGATTTTTATTGGTACCTGCTGTGTGCCAGTGCTACTGTGTCATTTAATCCTCACTGCCTGTGAGACAGGTGATTTGTCTCACTTTACAGATGAAAAAAAGAGGTTGGAAGTTCAAATATTTGGGTTAGGGTCCCATGGTCGGACCATAGCAGAACTGGGGGACTTGGATCAGAACTCTGACGGGCCAGCCCTTTGCATGGTCCCTGCCATGGGCAGGGCAGTCCTCGCTGCAGCCGGACAGCGGCCTGGGAGGCCCGTTCCACACCCTGCTGGTTTGGGGGATTAAATCTGGTTCCCTCACAGCCAACACCGGAACAACCTCAGGGCAAGCCTTCGGCCCCAAACATGTCTCCCTCCAGTCCGATTCCTGGGCCTTGTTTAGACCCATAAACGTGTCCTGGCCAGCAGGGCCTCATCCCAGGCCCATCTCGATTTCTTCCTACTGCCTTCAGAAAAGAAAGGTGATGTTATCACACTATTCTAGTCCAGTCACGCTGCCAGCAAACAGCAGCTGTTGCACCTGGGGGGCAGCAAGCTGGCCAAGCCTCGCTGGTCAGTAGCCAAGGGGCACCTCTCCTGACAGGCAGGACGGACGCCTGGCCGAAGAGAGGCTCGGCAGAAGCCTGCCGGAGGAAGTCGGCGTTCTTGCTCTAGGCGGGAGGCTCCGACCAGGGTGGGGGCCTGGCTGGCGGCTTAGCCTCTGTGATTGACATATCAAATACAGGGTGTATTTGGACATATTTATAACAAAAAAAAACCCTATCTGAAATTCAAATTAAATGGGATGTCTTGAATTTTCATTTGCCAAAATCTGAATCCTAGATTGTGGGCAGACCCCATGATCTCCTAGAGGTTTGGTTTGCTCATTTCAAAAATCAGGCTAAAACACCCTACCCTGGGATAACCGTGAAGAGTAGCAAGTCTCTAAAGAGGCAGCGGTGACCAGGTGTCACCGCCCCCACCCTGAGTGCAGCTGACCCCCAACACCCAGCTCTCCTTCCTCAGCTGCAGTTCTCAAGCCTTGGGGCTTGTTTGCTAGAAGGGGAGTGGAGGAGAGAGCTGATCGCTGAACCTAGAAATCTTTCTGTGGGGTCTGACCTCGAAAGTCCATGCCCAGCTGGACCCACCCAGCGCTTAACGGCTGCCAGGGAGGACAGCTGCCCCAAGGACAGCGACTGCTGAAGCCTAGTGCTTCCTCTCTGCTCCAGGGCCTGTGAGGCTAAGAGGAGCTTGTCTCCCTATGCTTTTATCCATCTCCTGGGGACTGTACTGTGGATGGGCCTGGAGGGTATGGGGCCCAGTCTGAGGATCTCTGAGGCAGGGCCATCTTGGTCTTGTGAGCTGCTGCCCTTCCCTGACCCCCAGAAGCCTCCCAGAGCTCTGGGTGCCAGTGCCAGCACTGCTCAGGAGGCGACCTACCTGTCACACACCTGGAGGAGGAAGTCGTTGACCAGGCTCTCATGCCGGCTGCAGATGCTCCTCTGGAAGGCGCTCTTGAGCCAGTCCTCAATGCTGCACACCTGCACGCGGCTGGAGTGCCAACAGATGGAGAGGCTCCTGAGTGCAGGGCTCAGGAGGAAGTTGTCCTTCCTGAGTTCAGTGAGGGAGCGGAAGTACAGCAGGGGCCAGAGCATGGGGTCCTCAAACACATCCTGGAGCTGGGTACAGGTCCTGGCAAGGTTCTTCCTGCTGTCCTTGTCCAGGAAGGAGAAGAGGTGCAGCAGGCACTCACGGTTGAGCTGGGTGATGTGCATGGTGCGCAGTGGCCGTGGAGTGTGGCCCGAGCCCAGGGACCTGACCTGCCTCCTGCTGCTCCTCCCCAGCTCCAGGCTGGTGGACATATATGGTTGTGGAATGGGGTTTATTTTGGGCTAACAACTGGTGCTGGAGCTGGGAGGGGGCCGGATCCAGACGTTCGTGCAGCAGTCTGTGTCTCGGCTTATGTTCAGAGGAATTGGAAATCCTGGCAGAAAAGCAGCCTATAGAAGTTAAATATTTTCCTTAAAAGGGATTTCTTTTCCTTTCAGCAGACAATGGCGTTCAACAACGAGCTCATTTGGCTTTTCCCAAGGCATTTTCATTCTAGGTGGCTAGCCAGTCCACCTCTGTCTGGGCTTGTAGGCTCTGCCCATGGGAGAGGCTCTAATTGTACATAGTGTCTGTTTTTCTTTCTGGTGCTGTACATCAGTCCAGGTCTCTCGCCCCACTCTTAGTAGGAAGAAACCTGTTGTCTGTGAAGAGCTAAGGGTGACAGTTTTGTGTTCAGAGCTGTAAGCGGAAGCCACGGGTAACCTCTCTCCTGTTTTCCCTCTGCGGGGATGGTTTCTCCAGGCTGGGCTGAGCTGCCTTCAAACCCTGCGGCCCTCCACAGGCAGAGGGAGTTCCTGGGCCTCCCAGCTGCCTCCCAACTGTTCCATAAAAGATTTTTATTTTACTTTTTTCCATCACCATTTATCCCCACCACCCCCTCCCCGTACCCTCTTCCACCTGCACCCACCCAAGCTTTATCTTAAGTAGATTATATTTGCAATTTCTTCCATGAACATGTCATGCTTTCAATTTTCTTGCTTTACCTTTTTCTAATGTGCCCTGCTGTATCTAGCCTATATTTCCCAAAATGTCAGGACGGACGAGGTAGCTCTTCCTACAAAACTTATTGAAACAATTTTAAGTTAAAGTACTTTAATCTAAGCCTGCTTTTCAAGCCAGCCACACACCGTCCTCAGGAATGCCTTCAATGCCTCTTGGCAAGTCGCCTGCAAGTCTTATCCCTAAGTTCTCCCCTTCTGAAGGAACTGAGATTTCACAATACATGGATCTATTTCCTAAAGCTGCTTGCTTGAATCCCAAGCCTACCCTGGGTCCTATGGGGATTCCCCTGCTCTGAAGGCCTGGCTTTGTGTGCGGCTGGCGGGTGGGTGGGCTGGTTTGGGGGATACTGCCAGTAAATCGGCATCTGCCTGTGCAGGCGGGAGTGTTTCCCCTGCTGGACCAGCAAGCACCTCAGGGGTTACCTTTCTTCCTGCTTCCTTTTCATTGGAATTGAAAGGAATGAGAACACTTTGTTTCCAGTTGTGTGGAGTAACAGGGATGGAGGAACCATGCTGGACTCTCTTCAGAAACTATGCCTGGGTCAGGCCTGGGGCCACTTTGCCTCTAAGAGCCGAAGGCGGCTCAGGAAGGAAAGGGGCCGTTCTTGCCACCCCGTGCTCCAGAAGGCCTGTCCAGGTGTCTCTGGGCCTGGGTTACCCCAAGACTGCCGGGGGCGGGTAGACAGGGTGGCTTTTCTTCAAAACAAATCAGCAAAAAAGAAAGCTAAAAGCTTTTCTCAAGAAAAGGGTGACTAGCTAGTATTTCAGAGTCATCATTTTAACTGTTCAAAATGACAGCCGGAGCTCTTCTCTGGGCTCTGGTTGCACTCCACTCAGAAGGCTCGCCGCAGCAGCACGGTGGGTCTCGCAGAAAGCCTCGGCATCTCCACCTCCCCTCACAAGGCCTTTCCAAACCGGCTCTCAGAAGACTGACCCCTGGCTCAGTCCGCTTAAAAGGCAGAGCCGTGTGAGCACACTGGCCCCTACGAAGAGTCATCCTGGTTTGTCGTGGCTCCAGCCTGCACTCCCATAGCCCTGCTGAACAGCAGAGCCCTGGCAGGGTGACCGTGTAGAGCCTAGACCCCTGCCGCTCCTCTGGGTGGGCTTAAAGAAGTGTCCAGAATGCCGGGTGGGCCCATGTCGGCAGGGAGGGGTCTGGCTGGCGGGGGGGGGGCGGGGGGGGGGCGGGGCGGGGGGGGGGCGGGGCTGATAGGCGCAGCACCGCCCCTTTGCGCCTGTGGGGAGCCTGGCCCCTTGGCTGCAAAAACAGCAGCTGCAGTGCCTCTGACCAGCGCACAGCTGCAGAAGGGAACGTGTGATGCGGGACTAGCGGCTGCACAGGCACTTGCTGCCCTGGCTGGGGGGCTCAGGCGGGGCCTTGTCCCCGTGTACAGAAAAGGTTGAGGGCTTCATCCCTGGTCTGGGCGCAGACAGGAGGTGACCAGGCGATGTTTCTCTGTGTCCCTTCCTCTCTCTCTCAAAATCAATAAACATATCCTTGGGTGAGATTTTAAAAGTGTTTGGACTGCAGATACCTACCTCTTCAGGTTCATTTATTTTTTTATTTTTTCCTTTTTAACTTACCGGGGTGACACTAGTTAACAAAATGGTGTTAGTTTCTGGTGTGTAGTTCCGTGATACATCATCTGTATCTGTGTGTTCACTGCTGCATGTAGTTTTTTAGAAGACTGATGGGAACAGGTAAGTAACAGGAAAACCATGGGTGTAGACACAGGGTGGTTTCTGATTTTTCTGTTTGCAGTGGACATGGGGGCAGAGAGGTAGCATATAGGAGCTTACTATAAAGCTTACTGTTCCTTTTTAACAGCTCTCACCTGCCTGTTTCACTTTAAAAGAAGCCCAATATCCTTTGCTCAGAGCCCCAAACCTGGTTCCTCAGGGTAGAGTCCAGCTGGGAGGGAAGTCAGCTGGCCTCGTTTTTATAAGGCCAGCTGGCACCAGGACAGATGGGGTGACTTCATTCCCAACGGTGAGCTCCCTCGGGCCCAACAGCAGGCCCCCGAGGTCCTCTCCCCGCCACCACCCTGGCCCTCCAGGCCACTCCATCCAGGCCTCGCACACCAGCAGCCCTGGATGGTGAGGGTTCTGCAGGAATTTACCTCCTGGTGACTGACTGACAAGGCTCGAGCTTGAGGATGTTGTTGTTTAGTTGGCTCCACTGAAAGGTGTTCGGAAATAATAGTCAAAAGGAAAGAGACCAGACTTTTAATGATACTTCCCATAAATCAGTTCAGGCTGGTGAAACAGAAAAGGGTGTGATTACAACTTCAACGAAATCGGTCACTGGCACAATTAATCCTCTCAGCATCACACAGACTAGGCTCTAATGGCAAACGATTACATCACGGCACAACCAACGCTTGCGGAAGGCAGGGCGGTCTGGAGCCCGCTGCACTCAGACCTGAGGGGAAGGGCTGCGCCGGTGAGGCCACACAGAGACCCCGCACCACAGCACGCCGCCCCGCCTGCCACCGCCTCTGGGCCATGCCTGGGACAGGCCCCAGCTGCGGAACAGACCTTGCTCCTGAGCTCTTCCAGGGCCTGACGGGAGGCCCCTTCAGCAACAGAGGGGACATGAGAGCATTTAGGGGGTGGTGGGGGGTTGAAGGTGGGGTAAGTACATCTAAGTAGACTTATGTACACTAGACCGATGAAAGGGAGGTTTGGCTTTAAGAAATAAATATGTCCCCGACCCCAGAAACCAAGCTGCTGAGTAGGTTCCACAGGTGAGATACACATTTAACATTCAACCAGGGCCAGTACACTTGACTGGTTTAATTCCATTACATTTGTCATCACTAGACACTGAGTAGAATACAGTGGATAAGCAAAGGTTTCTCCACCATGGAGAGAGATTTGTGTTGCCACAAACTGTTTCTGTCACCCACCCACGTGGGAGGACTTCTGAGAAAGTCTCCTTGTCCAAGGAGCCCGAGACCCGGCGTGAGGCCCTGCCTCGGCACGGGTGCTCCGAGCAAGAAGCCGCACTCGTGCCGGAGAAAGCGTGGCACGAGGGAAAAGCCCTGAAGAGCACAAAAAGGTCAGCTTTTAAAATAGGTGTGATAAGGCTACACAGTTAAGTTTTTAAAATACAGTTAGGCACATTTACATGTGTTCAAGTGCATGATTCAAATGGATCCAATCACTTTCCGAAGAGCCTTCATGATATTCAGACATTTCTTCATAAGAAAAATCAAGCAATAAAAATACTACAAAAACTCGAAGAGGAGATGTGTTCATCTCTTAAGCCAGCAGAGTTGCCTGCCTGAGGACCACTTTCCCCAGGCAGCAAAGCCGTCCAGTCCGTGGGTAAGCTCCACCCGGCATAAAAAGACAGCTTTTCTCCACCACCATCAGCACTGCCCAAAGCTTTGTTGCTGAAGTCGTAACAGCTGCCCCTTCAGAGACTCACGATCTCAGCGCGCATGTTAGAAGTGACAGCTGTGTACCTTCCAAAGCAAAAGAGCCTTGATTCATAGGAGACACCTGGCAAGGTCACAGGAGTGGTGTTCACGTGTCAAATGTATTAGACCACACTGAGTGACGCTGTTGTTTTTGTCAATCAAAACCAGTCAAATTTGACAATTTCATATCATTCACACAGTATAATTTAACATACTGAACCACGTTATTATTTTTTGTTAACTATTTTAAATAAATGTTCCCCTCTTAATTATCTTCTAAATTGTAAGACCTAAACATGACAGCAGAGGTTTATTTTCTCTGGAGTGAAAATCGAGACCAGCACCGTCGGAGAAATCTCTGTGTGTTGACTGAGACGTCTTAGATCTGTGCAGTACTCTGCCATGTGGCTGTCGAGTGCTTGAAACGTGTGGCTGAAGAACTAATCGAGTTCTTACATTTATTTGATTTTAATGAAATTTGTGGGTAGTGACCACCACATTGGGTAGGACAAGGCTGAGCATGATTTCATTTTGCTCCTAGTAAAGTTAAAGTGTTAAAGTTGATGGGAGCTCCCTTCTCTCTGCTAGATGGGATGCTGCCCAATTCACGAACTGTTGAGTAAAGCCAATTAGATCTTTAAAAAAAAAAAACAAAACATAAGTGGTTAGCATTTGTGGTCTGCTCTGAGAAAATGTGGGACTTAATGTATGGGATTCTAGTTTCAAATTTCAATTTCAGTTAAATCT